AGCCGTGTAAACGAACGCACGACCGTACGTCCCAACAAACCATAGACGTCACACGAATGAATTCAATCACCTCGAGATATAAGGACGAATTCTCAATTATTTTGCATCACGACCGGATTATTACTTTGCGGCTCAAAAAAAAGTACATGCATACGAGCATACGGCATAAGGACTCAATAACAATTAATTAGTCGTAGTCTTCAAAGGAGAACGGGTGGTCGCTTTATCGGCGAATCGGTCAGAACGTAGATAACGATTAGATGAAACAACACAATATTTTCCCTTTCCTTAGTCCCTCTCACTTCAGGCGTCAAGTATTCTTCCGACACCATGACGAAATATAATGTCTAAATATGCATCTTCTCAAATTAGTTACGTAGAGCTGATTCAGCCAGCCGAAGAGCTGACCTAGGAAGTCGTCCCTAATCTCCACATAATCACACTATGGTTTTCGGTAAACATCTCCTACATTGAACAACTTGAACCACTTTGAAACTACCACGAGGGTAACAAGAACATGTACAAAATATTCTAATTATTCATTAGAGTCGAGAGTTGTTAAAAGTGGTAAACATTTCCAATATTCAGGTATAACGATGACTAATCTATTCAACAGACGATGGACATTTCTTTTGTATTATTAGTTCGACAAAGAACAGGACGTATTGGTAGATTCAAAAACAAAGTGTCCTTTCATTACATTCGCGGAACTAAATTGGCCCTACGATGAAACAAAATAGTTCATCGATAACCAGAACGTTATACTGTAAGCCATATCTTTCTACCTATGGCCAAGTCCTTATTGACATTTTGAGCCCAAAATTTTATATGAGAAGTCGCAATATTATGTTTAATGTTACTTCCTACAAAAGCAATGAAGATTGAATTAAAAATTTCAACCCAAAACTCGCGCAATCAGGCATACAATTTTGAAAAACCCTGATTACTACGTCTTCGTTTTGTTTTAAGCAGTGCTTGTTTATAAATTTTCGTGATAATTTTTTCCAAAATGACGCGTTCCTGTTAAAAATGTGACGTAAATACGCGTAAGACGCAATTAATTAACCGGCGTTCAAATCCATACTTTAGCAGAACTCACTAAGTATCATCTGTCAAGCATGACTACAGTTAAATACTGCAAGTTTTAAGTACTAACTTATTACTGTGTATCAATCTTTTAGCAAAGATCGTTAACAGCTCCGTTATATGTATTATTACAAAAGAAAGACCACGCGCGTTTTTTCATGAAGACAGTCCTCGTTCGTCTTATTATGGTCACGTACACTCGTATTTATGGCAGGATTCGTGAAATTGTCATACCTATATTCGAATGTTGTCCACTTTTCCTAAAGTCAACTTACCGCTAATACAACTTCATGACAATGACGACAAAATCTCAACTGTATTGTACAACGGCAATCCCATCCTTCAAATCTCAAGGTACGCTTGATTTGCTGCAGAAATAGAGGACTGCTATACCTACCCGGCCGCGTTCACGATTTTCCCTACCACCTTTAAATAATACCGTGCTCGAATTAACATTCGACATAGGCATCTAAATTAGTTAATTTTCCATTAACTTAGAGGTCTCTGTCCAAGAACGGACGTCTTTAGACCGATGGTGTACGTGTGCTTAGTGAGAGTTTTTTAACGTTCTCGATGGCATAAAAGTTCACTCAAATTTGTATGGAGTTGGAACGTTTTCTTACTTAACGTTAGTTAACTTTTACGCTATCGAGAACGTTAAAAAACTCGCATTGAGCACAACGATCTGAATTTAGTTTAAAAGTGCCACATCCGCAATATTTCACACGTGCAAGGCACAACGGCAATGCCCAAAATACAGTGCGGGCGTCGCGTCTCGTAAATAAGCGCGAGGGACGTCTTAGTTTGGCCACCGAGCCACAAAAACCCCTAACCCAGCTAAAGCGCATCACGCTAACGACAAAAACGTTACGAATCTACCCTTACACACACAGCAATAAGACAAACTTGAAAAGACACGTTTGCACTTTACAATTAAAGTTTTTTTTTTTTTTCTTCCAAGGCAAACGAATATGCTGATAATAAGAGGATTAGAACAATCCTAGGGGCGCAGTTAAGGTACTTAAAGCCTTTTTTAATACTTAAAACTCATCACGTTTAAAAAAAGACACGTCATAGCGCCCAGGCAAGACTTAAGGTGGTCCATTCCATAGCCAAACAGTGCGCAGCAAACGCACTGTAGACTACTAAAATATTTTAGTCAAGCCGATCCGAATTTAAATTTTTTTATAGTTCCGTGTCGTCTCGACCAGTTTTTCATTCGACCTTTCAATAGACCAATCGAAATTTTCAAATTTTTCGTTCGAAATTTTCGTCCAAACTAAGCTAAAAAAAAGCATTAGATTCAACTTTACAATAATTAAAGGCTGGCAACTGTAACGTATTTTAATAATGTCAACCTATTCAACGGTAACACGACGAAACAATCATCTTCTTACCCTTATCCCACATTATGTGGGGTCGTCGCGGCATATCCTCTTTATCCATTCAGGCCTATCATACGTCATCTCTGCACTCACGCCCTTCTCTCGCGTATCCTCTTACACACGGTCCGTCCAAATCTTTTTAAGATGCCCCCTGCTCACATTACCGTCTCCTTCACACCCGGTATTAACAAAACGAAACAATAAATGAGATAATAAAATATAAGTATTCATATACCTAACCCATACATCGACCCGCTGAGTTTCTCGCCAGATCTTCTCAGCGGGTCGCGATTCCGACCCGGTGGTAGATTCATTCGCGAAGCGGTTGTTCTTGAGTAGTTAGGTCTCGTTTGGAGGCGCTCGGGCAGCTGTTAGCAAATCCCATGTCTCCTAGCTGAGCCCTGTACTCGCCCAAATGTCATGGTAAAACTGGAAAGGCTTACAGGTCACCAGTACTCCCTCCCTTATCCCAAAAACATTTTTTTTATATCGTACCTACTTTCACCGATTTTCGCGAGTCCTAAACATAATTGAGAATTGAGATTGTCCGTCGATCTAGAACCATAAAAAAACATTAAACTTAACTGTTTAAAAGGCAAAATAGTACACGTAGCAAAGCCACCGTCGCCCAAAACATGTCATGCCGGATCTCCAGGATCTACTCTCAGTGCTTTTAGGTACCTCAAGCAACGGTCATCGTTCTCGTCGAACCCGTCGCTTGCGATGAAGGACGAGCAAATTAATCCACAAACACAGCCCACTGAGTTTCTCGCCGGATCTTCTCGGTGGGTCGCGTTTCCGATCCGGTGGTAGATTCTGCGAAGCACTGCTCTTGCTAGTTTGAGCCCCGTGAGCTTACCTACTTGTTAGGATACGCTGGCATAGCTTCTCAAGGCTTAAGGTTAGGTAGAAAAAAAAGCACAGGTCATCGTCGAACTCGTCGATTACCTAGAAGAGTCAACGTGCGAACTAGCCCATAGACAGAACGCACTGTGTTTCTTACCGAATCTTCTCAGTGGATCGCGATTCCGATCAGGTGGTAAATTCAGCGAAGCATTAATCTTACTAGAGCCCGTGGGCCCAGCTACCGATCTGTAAGTAGTTTGAATTGTTCTTTAGGGTACCAACAATTAACTAGGAAAAATGTACCGACCCGCATGGACTCACAAAACCAACCAACTGCTCTTAAGCACAGTAAGCTCATCGCTTTCGACGTCCAGCCCACGGTCAACCGAATCTTAAGTTATTGCTGTCATTCCACAGTCAATGCGCGCGATTTCATTCCGGTAGTTGATGCATTCGCGAAGCAGCTGCCCTCGAGCTGCTAAACCTTCTTCGGAGGTTTTCGGACAGCTACATATCTCACTCCTCCCAGCTGAGCCCAAGCTCACCCACCCATCCTAGTGTAACTAGAGAAGCCATTCGGTCCATTCATAATCTTTCCCCCCTAAAAAAAACGCACCTACCGTAATCAGTAAAGTTCGTACAGTATACTTCGCAAAACGAAATAAGTCGCATCATTAAGTTCTTGCTTAACATCATCAAAATATGCAAGTCTAGCCGCGCTTTCACCGACCGATACAGGTAACACACAAGTATATACACTTTCATTTCCTTCGACGCGTGCACAAGTGGGATCGTCTGTTAGACCATAGACCAGGCAGACGCATTGTTCGCGGCTAATATATTCACGTTTAGATTAAAACCTCACTTACACATTGTTAAAAACGCATAACGATGCTATTTAGCTAATGCTTATTACGTTATAATACAATAGCATCGGTGTATTTGAGCAAGAGAATAAATGATCCGCGCAACTTGGGTGCTACGCAATGAAAGACAAACATAGCCCGGCGTAGACATCATCTACGATACTCTACGCGGCATATCAAGTTCAATTTTTTATTTAATGTTTATAAAGATAGTTTGAACTCGTTTTCCGGTACGCGAACTAGAAACGCCGAGAGTGTTATTACTTGTGAACTAATACGCGCGCGACAGACAGGCGCGAGACGACATTGCGACTCAAAGTTTCGCACTTGGAAAGTTAAAGAAACCTCATAGGTCCGAAACGAACTTTAGCTCTGAGTTCTCGGTCCTTCGACGAAAAAAGTTTAGTCTCGTTTTTGGGTGCGACAGCGAGCGGCAACTCGGCGAGTAATTAAGGTGTATGGGTAATATCGCGCGGGGGCTCGGTGGCGGGGCGCGGGTGCGGGGCGCGCGGGGCGGCCGGACGGACACAAAGGCTGGTCGCGGACGCGGCCGCGGCCCGGCGCCCTTATCACGGCGANGGTCTGAGTTCTCGGTCCTTCGACGAAAAAAGTTTAGTCTCGTTTTTGGGTGCGACAGCGAGCGGCAACTCGGCGAGTAATTAAGGTGTATGGGTAATATCGCGCGGGGGCTCGGTGGCGGGGCGCGGGTGCGGGGCGCGCGGGGCGGCCGGACGGACACAAAGGCTGGTCGCGGACGCGGCCGCGGCCCGGCGCCCTTATCACGGCGAGCGCACAGTCGGCTCGCGCGGTCCGCGACGTACGTACCTATCGCCGCATCGCGTTACGCGCGTCTTCGCTCAGTGACTTGTGAACGCATCTGTGAAATCAGTGACACGTGCCGCGCACTGCGCATCCACACTATATTTTTATTGGTTGGGATTCGTCCATTCAACGTACGCTCATAAAAGCGATAACGACTGCCCTGTCAAAAATTGTAAACAAAACACACGCCGGCTCGCAAGTAAGTTTACAAAACTTTTGCTCATTCATGTCCAGCCCGCTCCGATTTCCTGATATAGCAACTTAAATCCTGACAAAGTGTTTGTGTAAAAGAATAATAATAGAAAATCTAAAAGTCCTTTCGTGAATCAAACCTTAACGTATAGTGTAAAACTTTTTTATCGAATTCGATTCTATGATAATCTCATGTAGGTACATAGACATATAAATATAAAAAAAATAAGCTAATGACTTGCATCATTATCATTCAGTGTAGGTATTTCATTGAAAATAATCAAATTGGTAAAGCTGAATAATATCACAAAAAAAGTGCAAAGAAAAAATGGCGACTCGTGACATCTGAATGCAATGCAAAGAAATGCATACAAGATGCCTAAAATATATATATTTTTAAACTTAATTCAAAATTCAATTAAAAGTATCTTGTTTTTACAAACCTTGATTAGCTTAGTCCTTGTTTGACGGAATCTTTTACCGTAATTTTCACCGACTTCAATTAATTTCCGATTATCTTAAAATTTGCAGACGCATTGAGGCACGATTCAATACAATATTATAATTTTTGTACTTTGATCTAATATCCGGAATAAGTAGAATAAACGAAATGATTATTCAATTATTCGTCTCGATATTAAAGCGCGCTTCTAAATAACAATTATTAATAAAATAAAAAACAAAACATAACAATATTGACGATATAGCTTCAAACGTTTTAGTGCAAATGATGTCCAAATCAATGAGTTATTTAACGTTAAGTTAACGTAAGAATATAATGAAAATAATGCTTCCTTCAAAGCCTTAAGACAAGCCTCAAGAGTCTTTGATGCAACGTAAACAGAAATACATCACGAAAGATACATCATGAAAGATATTTGTTTTTTTTAAATTCCCAATCATAAAACTGTATAAAACCTTTTTATACAATTAGAACACTTTAATGTTTAAATTAAAATGTGATTAGAACACATGTAATTCACATCGCATTCGAACACCGTCGAGTTTAAGACAATTTGCGGATTTTATTCAAATGCGTTCAATAACATCAATAACAAGTCATACAAAATATACTCAATTTTATTCATAGGTAACAATATACGTTTGTTCTTCTTTAATGGAAAACGAAAAGTTTAAAGCGTTATTGACGTAATTCCTAGAGAAAATTCCCTGTGCTTTTAATTTTAGTAAAAGATAGCTCCGACTTTTTTTTTATCAAATTACCAAATTATTTTGACACATATTCAGCGGGTTATTAAACGTACTGCCAAGTAATCAAATTTCAAAAGGCAGGGCAAACTTGGTGCTCTCTCTATCTACATAATTATCACAATGTACATTATTTAATTGGTCATGGGCCACGAAGTGACGGCCCATTTCGATATTATTCGGTAGCGGGATCCACATTCATGGAGCCTAAACTGAACAAGTAACATTGACAAAACTGACGCTCAAACTGAAACTAAAAACATTGCTTGGCGGGGAAATTATTCAGATCGCCTATGCAACCTAACGCACAAACTCAACCCATTAAGTTTCTCGCCGGATCTTCTCAGTGGGTCGCGATTCCGTTCCATCGATTCAGCGAAGCAATGCTCTTGCTAGGACTAGTATCAGCAAATTCTCTCCGGTTAAGGCCGCGAGCTCACTCACTCATTCCGAATGTAGCTGGAATAACCCCTTAGGCTAGCAAAAAAAAAGCTAAATTCATGCCCATCCTTGCAGCCTAGCAATATACCATCAATACTTTGAGAGCCGCTAAGTAAAGAATAGGAAGTTAAAATAAAAAACGATTGAAGATAATTCTGCTACAGACGGACGATAGAGGAGCAAAAACAACATCTCAAAAGTACAGGATTTAATAATATCCCAAGATCTACTATTATCCATAAGTTATACAAGGAACCACAAATTTGAAAAGTTCACGTGTACATAAACAAACAATGAAATAAATAAACAAAACTACAACAACAAAACTAAAAAAACAAAAAACGACAAACAAAAATTCGTGTATTTGTTAGTGTTTAATACGTGTGGCGCCATCTAGCGGTGACCGAGTGAACGGGCCGAGACCGCTCGCAAGGTCACCGTGTCAACGACCCGACAACTTTTGCCGCCTACTGTTGTCGTAGGTCATAATTTTATTTCTTTTTGTTTATCTTTTTCGTAACTTTACAACTTGCCACGTTTATACAGTTTTTTATGGGCTTCCTGTAAACGAAATTATTACGGTCGTGCTCGCAAAGAGTTTTAATGTGTCTATAACGCGTTTTATGAATTGTATCATTCATTATACATTCGTTGGAGTGTTGAAAAAATTACTGCTTCGAAAATTTCGACTGTGATGATTGTTCATAAAGCGACGTGTATGATTTATTCGATTAGTAATCGGTTCTTTCTTTTGTTACAGTAAGCGAGTGGCCATTATGGCAACAAAGGGTAAGCGACCTATGCGCGCTCTGACGCCCGGCGACAAAATCGAGGCCATACAACGGGTCAACGACGGAGAGTCCAAGGCATCGGTCGCACGAGACATAGGCGTGCCAGAGTCCACTCTGCGCGGCTGGTGCAAGAACGAGGACAAACTGCGCTACATGACGTCACGATTATCGTCGCCCGACACGGACAAGAGCAATGACGGCGAGCCTCTAGAGAAACGTGCACGCACCGTGTCCCCGGCCGCGCCCTCACCCCCCGCGCCCTCCGGCCTCGACCTGACCGCCGCGTCTATACCCACCTCCACCGCCACACAACTACCGCCGGCACCGGCCGACGCTCCCGTGGAACTCACAACCAAACGCAGCGAACCATCACCCATCCCACATGTACCCCGCGAGCGCAGACCGGACCCCGGGGCCAGTGTTTCTATGAGCGCCATCAGCCCGCTCTCCGGCCTCGGTCACATCCCTGGCCTCTCGCATTCACATCTCGGACTCAGTTTCAACGAAATAGCGACCAATCTCACGCTCTTGGCACAACTCAACCCGGGCCTGTCGGCCTTGTCCGCCCAGCCATCTAGTCTTTTGCGTTCGGTGCGATCGCCGAAACCAGCACACAACGGTGGACTCAACTTGAGTGACACCAAACATCGCAAGTCACATCACTCCGATCCTTATCGTCACTCAGGGTCCAAGTCGAGCCATCATCATGGATCATTACCATCGGCGGCCACTCAGCCCGTGGATGACACTCTTTGGTATTGGCTAAAAACTCAACAGGCGATGCTGGACCTGACCGCGCAAACGACAGCCGCTCATCCACTACAACTGAGCAAATCCTCCGAGCCAAGCATGCCATCTAAACCAGTGGCCCCAGCCGCCCCGGTCAATCCACACCTCGACTACAACCGAAACTCGTGGCTGTGGCAATACTATAAACAGTTCGGTGGCGCTATGCCGCTACCCGAAGACAAACACAAGCCAGCATCTCAGGTACCAAAGGAAAAGACGGCGGAGAACATTCTCTATTCGCAACTCACTAAAGGAAAACCGGAGAAGGGAGCGGCGATAAGTCCCGACAGACCGCAGCTACGCGAAGAGGACACACGCGATATGCCAAATGAAGGCACACGCGTCGCCACCCCGGTCGCCAGCCCCGAAATAGGTTCAGAAAACAAGGAACCCATGACCGAACGCAGTCTGGATGCCCCGAGAAACCAAACGAAAGCCAGAACCGTCTTAGATAGTCTATTATTCAACAATTCGGGCGCGACCACGAACAAGGACTCGGCAGCCGAGAATCAACCGAACGAAGAGTGGGAAACGGGGGCCGCAGAGGCTCTGGAGCACGGCGACAAGTTCCTGTCGTGGCTAGAATCGAGCGGCGACCCGAGCGTGACGCGCATGCACGTGCACCAACTGCGGGCCCTGCTGCACAACCTGCGGGCGCGCCGGGCCCCCCCCGCCGAGCACGCGCGCCGCAAGTAAACACGGACCCCGGTCTAGCTCGCTACAGGGAATACTTCAATTATGTACATAACTACGTCGTCGCCATTAAGCGTTCACTTGTGATATGTGTAGCCAAAATTTGCGTAATTTCTTTGTTCTAAAAGGAAAGCTATGCATTAATTACATTATTAGTTTAAGGCAAACGTGTCGAGGAGAAAGGATATCGGTTTTGTTTTCAATGATGCTCATTAACGCTAGCGGGAACACAGCGTGCCGCTAAGCGCTCTAGATTATAGTTAAATTCTCCGTGTTCCGGATACATTTAATAGAATATAGGTAGCACAAGTTCAAATGTACAATAGCTTTCCGCGTTTCCCGGAAAGTGTTTCTACTTTAGTTTTAAGGAATATATTTTATGTTGCCATTCGACGATTACATTCCTAGTTTGTACCCTTATTTATAGTTTATAGTTAAATCATTATGTTCTACTACCTCAAGTCAAAACTATGTTAAGTCACGCTCGACACACTACCGACTGTATCGGCGTATGGTGTACGTGTGCGTGTGGCGAACGCGGCCTTTGTCGCGGAGGATACCAAAAAAAAAAACTAAAAGGATTCGCCCGCATCTTGTGCCAACATTACGAACAAGGTAATACATAATATTATTGTTAAGAAAATATAGGTCTCTATCGCGTTAGCATTCGTCTAATTGTTTTGTAATATGTGCTCAGTATTTTATATCGTAGACATTGTTCTGTGTCTCAAATCGGAATTGTATTATACGTTAAAGTTTAACAGTTAAGTACACTGTGATCAAAATTATAAATTATTGAGAGATTATTAATGTATAGAGTGTATTAAATCTTAATGTTATGTATAAGAGAGATTGTCCGGTCGTGACAAATGTTTTTCGAGATCAAAACGTTGCGACTTCTAGCAACTTCCAGATTATGGCGACTGTTACGCCATCAAATATTAGGTATAATGCGTTTCGTCTTTATTGTATTAGCTCCACTAAAAATTTATCGAAGAGATTGATATTTTGTACAAAATTGATTTAAAAAAAAAGTAAAAGAAAAAAGAAGGAGATAATAGGATTATAAAATGATTCTCTTAATCACTTGTTTGTGATCTCGATAATGTTGAATGATTAAACTTGATTGAACTTTAAGGCTGACTTTTATTCATCGCTACCACCTTTTTTTTATTGCTTAGATGGGTGGACGAGCTCACAGCCCATCTGATGTTAAGTGGTTACTGGAGCCCAAAGACATCTGCAACGTAAATTCGCTACCCAACTTGAGATATGAGTTTTAAGGTCTAAGTATAATAACAACGGCTGCCCCCCCCCATTCAGACCGAAACGCATTACTGCTTCACGGCAGAAATAGGGAGGGCGGTGGTACCTACCCGTGCGGAAACAGAAGTTTTTTTTAATATGTTTGCTATAATAACAGTGGCTCTCAATCATCATGTCGCGACACATTAGTATGTCGCAAGCTGTCAAGTCTGTCGGAGATTTACACACACGCTAACCGAGTTACTCGCCGGATCTTCTCAGTGGGTCACACATTTCCGATCCGGTGGTAGATTCTGAGAAGCACTGCTCTTACTAGGACCAGTGTTAGCAATTCTCGTAGGTTAAGCCCGTGAGCTCACCTACCGGTCCATGAGTAGCCGAAATAGCCTCTTAGGCTACCAATGATTAGGCAGGAAACAATCTATCTATGATGACCCGGGGTAATTGCATCTCTGAACTACGTATGGAGTAAATACATATACAACTATTTACTAGATGATACCTGTACAACTTATTAAATTATCGATATATGATTTTATAACCATGTATAGGTATAATAGGTACCTTTAGTTCATGTATCACATTTTAATAATTATTATTTAAGAGTGCCGCGTATTTTTGGAGTTAGCGTCTCGCTCAGAAAAAAAAGTTGAGAGTTTGAGAGCCGCTGGTATAGGAGTGGAGAGGAGGAGATTTTTTCAGGGAACTTTTTGGAGGATCCCGAGAAGTTACGTCCAGCGGCTTTGTTTCATTTTCCCACATTTTTGCACTTTCACAGATATTAAACCACCGTTATTAAACATTTAAACCTGAAAAAACGCTAAATAGACAAAATAAAACAAATCACACAACTTCACTCCTCGCGTTCCCGCCAAAAAGTTCTTCCAGAGAGAATCGCTTTCTAAATACCCACAGATAAATAATCCACATAACGCGACATAGACACAAAGGGCTCATTCATTTAGACATGTACTTCTACACAGCAGGATGTCACAGAGAGGCATTAAATGTTTCGTTGGCAATTCATACGTTGCTTTATTAATCATAGCGGATCCACATTCTACACAGGGTCCCTACTAACAGAATTGCACTATGCAATTCTAGGACCAGAACCTACAATGTTTGTTTGTACTGTATATATTTCTTTTTTTTTCAGTTTACGTTTTATGTAGTTATTCCAATATATTTTTTCAATAAATAGTCGTAGTATACATAATAATACATATATATACTCATTAGTCGTTTCCCAATTTCCACGGTAGCTACCCCAGAGCGCACTTGAGGTAAATGCGGCCCTGGATACCACCCTTTCTGTATCTCCCGCCAAGCATTTATAGTCATAAGAGTATGATTAAAGATCCATCCAGCCTAACAATATTGTTAAGACTTCACACCCGTGTGTTACGGTTTATGACGTCTTTAACTCAGTATTGTCTACGAGGCTCGATGACCCCTCAGGTACAATTCAGGTGTAAAAGTCTTTGATCACTTATCTGCGATCTTTCATCGTTCATCCCTTTTACCCATCCTTAGCCGTTATTTTCTTAGTATAGTCCAAATTGAAGAATTTAAAATATTATCGCCTGTTTGTCTAGTGATTACAACCCTGACTATACCATTGGATCCTACATCGACACCCGTACGGAGTCGATAAATAAAGCTTAAAGTCGCGCGAGGTTACAGATTTAAAGATAACAAGATTTTTTATTAAATTACATTTTTCCTTCTGCACTATAGATTGTATATAACAATTAATGGAAAATTAAATAACTTACGTGCAACATCGGCTTGCTAAGCGCTTCGTAATCAAAGTAATCTGCGACTAAAGAAGCCAGCCCCTGCCAGGTAGACGTGTCAGAATAGCAGAGCTTCGTTGGACGTATAGTGGTGCACACCATTTTCTTTGGATAAAAATGTAAAAGACATTTATGAAATTCGCAACCTTTAAGAAACTATATTTTATGATCCCTATTGCATCCTACAACCTACTTGCTGGTTGACTGATACATTGACACACATATAACTCTATTATTGCAGAGAAACAAGCACTAGTCTGTTTAAAAGTACTTTTACTAATTAATTTTGAGTTTTATTTTTCTCTTTGTCAAATACTTCACAGCTTTCGTGGTCCCGATCCACTAACGGTGCTTTTAGGTACCCCAAGCACCGGTCATTGTTCTCGTCGAACCCGTCGCTTGTGACGAAGGGCTCGGCGAGTAAATGAACCCACAGTCACAGCCCACTGAGTTTCACGCCGGATCTTCTCAGTGGGTCGCGTTTCCGATCCGGTGGTAGATTCTGCGAAGCACCGCTCTTGCTAGAGTTCCTGTTAGCAACAACGTCAGGTTTGAGCCCCGTGAGCTCACATCCCGATGACGCTGATATGGTCTCTCAAGACCATCAGCTTAGGTAGGAAAAACAATTTAAAAAAAAAGCTTTCGCGGTCACGCTGAAGCTTCCGATAATAATAAACGCGATATTAAATCGTAAGGTTAAAATGTCTATGCGTAAACCGAAGCAAATCGAAGTATTTGTGTATAAAAAATTACTAGTATGTGATAGTATTTTAAACTCGTTATCCCATGTTCGTAAGTGCATTTGGTCAAAGCTACATCTAGCGACATCTATTGTTAATAGAGATTACCTGCAATCCACATTCGTTTGGCGCTTGTAGCAACAAAGGTTTTCGAGGTTTGTAATGAAATAAGAACTGTCGCCTAAAACATTCCGCATAAGCAAGTAGTAAGCGTTCTTTTGGACTGTTCGTGTAGTAGCTTTCTGGAAATTTAGTTCTTGTCTCGAACACTGGTTCGACTATATCCGGCCAGCATAAGTTTATCACACCGAGCTCATAGATGGTGTTGTTCAACGTTTCTAATGTTAAAGGTTCATTCACATCTTTCAAACTAAACACTTTAGGAGATATTTCATCGAATTCTTCTTCTTTATCTGGTTCATCTAATATCTCACTCGCTACATTTTCATTTACCTCCAATAAAGGGTCCAGAGGCTCCAATTCCGATTTCCTTTCTGTCCCAAACGTTTCTGATTGTAGTTTTGGAACACTCATTGTAGATGTTACACAAGCTACAACTTCTATTAATTGGATTCATTTAACATAAACATGACTAGAATACTCAAATTTCAGTTACCTACGCAACCACGTAACTTTCCTGAATACAGCTGTTTTCAGTGTAACATTCTATTTCCCTTAGTAATTTCAAAATTTCATAGCAATATCAAAACGTTAGGGTACGCTTGTGTTGCAAGCTAAAAACTATTGCCATCGATTAGGATGGCTTGGAACTTCTGAGGATAAAACGACCACAAAAGCCAAAACTATGTTAAACGTTAAATTATAATACGATACATAGGTTGGGGGAAATAAAAATTTGACACGACAGTATAAAATATACATAAACAGTATACATTTCTAGCTAAAAAGACCATGACAACCGGTCGTGCAATGCGGAAGGTTATGTGAATTTAGTAAATTGACAAGTTTACATGTAAAATAATATCATATTTAAATCCAATTCTACCAAAAAACACTACCTTTCAATTTTTTTAATTCAGAACTTCAGCTGCCTTATCGCTTTAAGCTGGAATTATTTAGTGCTTATACCCGTGCGGCCCTCCCAGCCTTTTCACAACAACCATTTTAGTATGTGTAAAATTTCGTACACGCCTAAATCTTATCCTATCTGGTGTAAGTAAAGCATTGTCTGCCAAATTCATAATTTAACATACAGGTTTGAGGTCGGAATTTTTTCTAGAGCCAGAATCGAAAAAATCATTAGCAACATTATTCAAGTCTGCATACATGTCACAATTACTGTCACTCTCAAATGTCAAAAAGTAAAATGTCAGTGACAGTCTGATCGTGAACATTTCTCAATTTTCTCATTAGTTGATTGGCAAAATACTTCAAATCAAATTAGGAAATTTAATTTTTTCACTGTTATTTCAAATGGAATAGTTATATACATTTCATGTTATAAAAATTTTGAAAAACATAACTATCACACATAACCAATGTAAATTATTAAATAAATTCTGCGGTTAATTAATAATTAAGTGCTATCAGGGCTCCCTTATCAAAGGTCTTAGCACAAAGGTTAGTAGTGATTTCACAGAAAGATGGGAAATAAGTCGTCTTTGTTGTTGAGAGAGGAGGAAATTGCACAAATACAGGAAGAAACCGGGTGTAAGTTATTTTCCTTATTAAATCAATTGTTTGTTATTGTAATTATTTATGATGTAGTCATCAAGTGATATGTCCATGCATACTTTAATAAAATTACTAAACATCAGTAACATTTAAAATGCACTGAAACTGATTGAAACACCATTCTTTCTTCATTCTAATCAATGTTTAACATTTTCAGTCACACCTAATCAAATAGAACGCCTTTATTCCCGATTCACATCACTAGACAAAAATGACTGCGGAACATTATCTCGTGAGGACTTCCTGAGAATTCCAGAGTTAGCAATCAATCCACTAAGCGAGAGAATTGTGCAATCATTCTTTGCCGAAAGCCACGATGATAGAGTTAACTTCCTGCAGTTCATGAGAGTTCTTGCACACTTTAGGCCCATCAAGAAGAATAGGGAAAATAAACTCAATTGCAGAGAAGAAAAATTGAGGTGTAAGTAAAAAAATTTCTGCAAACTTCAGTAACTACTTCACATTAATGGCCATTGTAACCCATCGCAAAACATTCACATTAGTCTAAGGTTTATGCCATTTACATTGTCTAGTGTCTGAAATCTAGATGTAATCCTATATAAAAGGAAGAAGGGGAGTTTGAGAAATCTTGTGTCCTTAAATGGGGGTTAGCGGGAGTTAAAAAGCCACCATCTCGCACCACCTTCGATGATAATGTATCTCTTTTAAATACGAAATCAGCCCCGAACTATTTCTGTCCACTTCTACTACTGCAGGAAATATTTTAGATGATCATTAAGCTATAAATAAGAATGAGTTTTACTTTCAGTTGCATTTTCTATGTATGATCTGGATAGTGATGGTAAAATATCCAGAGATGAACTCCTCGCTATACTGCACATGATGGTTGGAGCCAATATTAGGTAAGATAAATTGTCTGTTCAGTTAATTTTTATGAAAAATAAAATCAAATTCAAATATAAGTAGCTGTTCCAATTATATATATAACTGTTGATGGTTGGACAAATGATTGGCATGCCTGATTTTAGGTGATTGTTGCCACCTTTTTTCTGACAGGTCGAAATCTCAATTATATTGTGTCACAATTTTTTTTTGTATTTCTCGAAATATTTATCTGAAAGTTTTAATACTTTAATTGCATGATATTTGTTTATGGAATTGGTTTTGCGTCATACACGTTGCTTGCAATCTCTTATCAGTCAATTTAATTTATCAAACATACTTCAACAATACAAACTTATTGATTTGTTATATAAACAATAATTATGCACTACAAAATGACTGATTCAAATTTGAAATATTTTGTAAAGAATTCTTTCTGTGATANATAGTTTTAATACTTTAATTGCATGATATTTGTTTATGGAATTGGTTTTGCGTCATACACGTTGCTTGCAATCTCTTATCAGTCAATTTAATTTATCAAACATACTTCAACAATACAAACTTATTGATTTGTTATATAAACAATAATTATGCACTACAAAATGACTGATTCAAATTTGAAATATTTTGTAAAGAATTCTTTCTGTGATACAATATTATTAAAATTCATTAATCAACCGAAACTAAAATACATTTAAAAACCAAAACCAAAGTTAACTAAAAATGACAAAATAGTTTTTGTATTATGACAATCCAGGTCGAGGTATTTGGCCAAAGGAATAAAATTATTGCTTTGTCATTGAGCATTGAGCAATTATACAAGTTAATTGGACGACTTAAAGCTGGTTAAAAGAAAATAATTCCATTTCATAAATAGATACAGATCAAGCCGATGAAAATGTGTGTAAAACAATTTTCCTTTGAATTACTAAGAGATAATAAAATAATTTTTCTTTTGGAATTCCAGTGAGGAACAGCTGACGAGTATTGCTGAACGAACAATCATTGAAGCAGACACTAACAATGACCAAATGATATCCTTTGAGGAGTTCTGCCGGGCTCTCGAGAGGACCGATGTGGAACAAAAGATGTCCATTCGATTCCTCAATTGACCTCCAAACTCTTGAACCGCGTACATCAAGTACATTCTGACAATTGTACTAATAGTCATTGTCTATGGGCTCTACAAGAAAAAATGAACAATTTATGCAAAACTTGTACATATTTACTGAACTTATCGTGAAGGGTTAACTAGTTAGATACTTATCATGGGGGCAGCGTATTTATTTTCTTTTTTTTTATTAAGTTAAGATTCATAGCATGGTTGTTTTTTCTATTAAATTAATTAAAAGATAAACTGCACGATAAAAGGAATTAATAGATATCCAATTTTAAAAACTTTCATCCTTGAGTTAACATGTTCCGTGCCGAACAATTTACACGTGAATTGTTATTCAGGCAGTTTCATATATTAACTAAATATTGTTATATTACACCACAAAATTATTAATTATTTTTTATTTCACAGTTGAACAAACAAGTTTTTTGCATTGCATTGTGATGAATATTATTTGTTGTTTTTAATATATTTGTTGTTTTTAATATATTTGTTATGAAATATGTAAGAATATGGATGGATGACATATTGCTTCTTGTATCAATAGCGCTACGTAGACGCGGCACGGAGCGTGTTAACTGAAAAACAGTTGTGCTGAAATGTCATATTTTAAAAGTATCGCATTACCTTTCGATTATAAGCAAATGCGGTTTAGGTTTTACAGTTAAGCTCCTGTGTACACCACGTTTTTTAAACGCGCTTTTACCCTACAGAGCGGTTTGTTGTCGTCTGTATCGATACAAACGCGTATTTGGATTTATACAGGTGTGCAAAGGTCTACAGGCTTCGTCTGACTTGCGAGCGTATCGCGTCTGTATCGCTACAAACGCGCGTCGACGCTGTGTTTAAAAACCGTGGTGTGCACAGACCCTAAGTTAACATTTGATTCACCATAGCAAATGTAGACGTTACATTATATTGTTTAAGCACGCAGAAATATGCCTGACCGGTATAATGTAATATTTTATTTGTATATCACGGTTTTAATTTGTAGAATATAATTTATTTAAACATTGCAAACGGTCAATGCTATCTTGTGATACTTGTTAACGTTTAGTGTAGGGAAATTTTGAAATTAGGTATTATAGATAGGATGAAACAAAGCATCACTCAAGTTTCCAATTGAAGGAGCTCTTAGGCCATCTGTTTGTACTGACATGTCATAATTGAAATGTGTCTATAGATAAAATCAATGTAGTACATAGGTCTTTGTAGTCTAGTGTGCAGTATTAGAAAAATGTAGTTATTCAACAATTGGTATTTGATACCTTTATAGCAAAAATAACAAAATACATAGTAAGAATTCTTAGTAACCGGGAAATGTATTTTAAATATAATAAAAACGGCTATAAATAGTTAATACAAACTTTAGTTTCAATCAGTGTCATACATAGCCCGACGTTTATAACTTTTAAAACTAGTAAATTGATGCACGCTATCTAGGGAATATAGATAAATGATTAGTCAATGATCACAATGCCGTTCAAATAGGGTTTCTCTTTAAGGGAAAAATATAGAAGCAACTATAAAGATGTATGACTGATTGAATAACGCAATCATGATTTGATTGTGGTACCAGAGTGGACCAGAGGAATCGCGTTACCAAATACTAATCGGATACGGGCTGTCTAATTTATTTACATAGTAATCATTGTATGGTGTTACAAATGGAAATAAATGTTTCACCAAACTATCGCTTTGTTTTTTTTGCCGTTCGTCTGCGCGCGTTCGGTACGTACCAAATTCTAAGCTTAGTGTCTCACACTTTTTTTGTGATGTAAAAAAAGTTTTAATGACATTTATTGTCTGTGAGACCGGACGTGCTGGTGCACTGAATATGCGTCGCCAGTAACAAAGATACAAATCCCAACCAAGTTTGAAGTAAATCTTCCTAAATTATGTTAGAAATATATTTATCGTCGTGCACAAGAATACATTGGCGGACCAAAATGTCTAAGGCATTCCCTACCAGTGAACAAAGCGTGGATTAGTGTTGAGCTAGCTGCATTGGTTTATTCAAAATATATTATATAAATACATATACAGAACACATGCAGTATAAATTTAGAGATTTAACATACATCGCCGTAAATATTATAATATAAAATAATATACAATTTACACATCCATATACATATTCTCATACATATATTATTTCGATTGAATATCCATTTTGAACAAAGTTGATTATTTACTGCTTTTACTGTTGGCAGGACGTCTTGTGAGTCCGCACGGGTAGGTACCACCACCCTGTCTATTTCTGCTGTGAAGCAGCAAAGCGTTCCGTTATGAAGGGTGGGGTAGCCATTGTGTCTTAAACGGTTTAGAATACATTTTAGTCTTGCATTCAAATTGTAGGACACTGATGATCAGTTATCAAGCGGGCTTCCCAGAGACTGTTGATACATATAGTGTTATATAGTTTTGAGAAGTCGTCGTGGCCTAAAGGATAAGACGTCCGGTGCATTCGTATTGTAGCGATGCACCCGTGTTCGAATCCCGCAAGTGGGTACCAATTTTTCCAATGAAATACGTACTCAACAAATGTTCACGATTGACTTCCACGATGAAGGAATAACATCGTGTAATAAAAATCAAACCCGCAAAATTATAATTTGCGTACTAACTGGTGGTAGGACCTCTTGGAGTCCGCACGGATAGGTACCACCACGGAATAGATAAATAAGGTTGGAATGGTAATGTAGGCGGGGTAAGCGTGCCACAGTTATGATTCTACAAACATAACTCGACCGATTCTTTCATTCACCGCGTTTAGTGCGCTTCGGACTACTTTAGCGAACACATCTCCGCTTTATAGTGCCGTGTTGCAATTATAACTTGTAAAACAAAAAATCAGACCTCAAGTATAGAGCGAGGAGGTATATCTTTCGATCGGTAAGTCGAAATTACCATTTAATTACAATATTATTTGTCTAAAACATAAAAATATACTGAGCATTATGAAATTCCAAACATTAACAATATTATTGCAGCAAGTTATAAATAGCATACATTGCGCGATGTGTACTCGCCCAATGAACGCAATGACCAAGTCAGCTTCCAATGTACTACATGCATTGCGTTCTCTACACTTCAATCTTTGAAATTTCGGCCTTTGCCCTGATTGGCCGTGCAGTTTGTCGATAGTGAGGTGACCATGTGGTAAAATCATCGACAGAATTCTCGACTATATTTACATTTGACATGGATAATTTTTGCATTATTTTATATTTAATTAATGATACCTAGTATATTCTTAGTGAGACGTATTTTGAGTAAAATAAATATGTATTATTATTATTGAATTATTATCATTGAATTAAAGTGAAGGTATAATATAAAGGGACATGTAGACCTCTAATTTACGGGTATTTACTATATTGTCTAAGACGTATTAAAATCTAAGTAAAATGCTATTTGACTTATGCAGTAAATTAAAAATTTTAGGTTTCCTAAAGAACCTAACGCCAGGGAACAATGGATTGACGTGACAGGTAGAGGAAACTGGAGACAAAGACGAGTACTATTTGCTCTAAACATTTTACTGAAAATGATTTTATCATAAAAAAAATCAGAATACACTTAGTTTTGAAAAATTCATTCGCAATTAATAGCAAGCGCCAACTGCTTAACAAATACGTTTTATTCCAGCGACAGTGACTATTTGTAATTAATAAAAGTAAAATAGTTTTTTTTTTCAATATTTATTTCATGTTTCATTTTCTCCATTCATTCATCAGATAATTTATCGATAAAGAATATCGATTTTATCAAGCACTAGCGTGTATGAACATTTTTATTGCCTTTTTGCGTGTGTGAGTGTGTATGCCTACGGGTGTTTTGTGCTAGTTTGCGAACGAATATCTGTCCTGAGATTTATGTGTGGGTGTTTTTGTTGTGTGCGAAATACTTGTAATCACAGTATGTGTATGTGTAGAAATTAAAATAGTGGGGATGAAGCGGCGACACTGGTTCTAATACAAAATTAGAGCAAAGGCCTTTCCAACCTTATTTATCTATTCCGTGGGTACCACCACCCCGCCTATTTCCGCCATGAAGCAGTAATGCGTTTCGGTTCGAAGGGTGGGGTAGCCGTTGTGACTATACTGAGACCTTAGAACTTCTATCTCGAGGTGGGTGGCGCATTTACGTTGTAGATGTCTATGGGCTCCAGTAACCACTTAACATCAGGTGGGCTGTGAGCTCGTCCATACAACTAATCAATAAAAAAAAATGAAAAAAGTTTTTTCACATTAAAACACGTCTTTTGTCAAAGAAGTTTCAAGCGCGATAGAGGACCACGCTATTGAAAAAAAAACACAAATTTCATAAACATTTTATTCCATATTATAATTTACAATAATTTGTAGAAAATATAACTTAAAAGTATTATTAATTAATGAAATTTAATTTTTCCATACACACAAAATCTACATAACAGCACTCCCTATGTGTTGAAATTAGAACTCTTACATACAAACGTCTTCTAGCTATTATTAGTTTTACATATTGAATACAATCAGGAATAAACATTACAAAGCTATGGGAATTTGTTTTTTATATCTACATATATTCTGATGGACTCCAATTTTATTGTATGTTTCAAGCTCAGCTCAAAAAAATATTTTCTGAGTCACCTCAAGCTTATTATCATCCAATACTAAGAATCCCATTAACAGCATCTCAAGTGGCCAGAGGCCAAACATTCTTCAGCATACCAGTACCAACATCCAGGTGTTCTAAGTCACAGGAGGTTCAATTGTGACCTCAAAAACATTCGTTAAACGGTAGAGCTCTTTATCTAAAGTATACATAAGAATACTTCAGGAGCGAATGGTTAATGAAAGTGATCCCTATACCCTCAAAACCGACAAAAGCAAAAGTTTAACAGGTAAGCAACGAATTCCTCTTAGACACCTGTGTAAAAACTATTTCATTATATGAGTGAATTACAACTAAGATCTATACGTAAACAAATTTAATTGGATTTAAGTAACACTCGAACTTTCTTATGTCCCGCGATCACATCTGTGCACGAAGCATTCAATCCGATATACTATCTAACGAAATAATAAAGGTCCGTTTGAAAAGCCATTTCGTTAAAGCTACAGTGTTTGTCACGAATCACAGTTGACTACGGAAAGGTTTGACTTAGACGAAGGCAGTCTCTTGAATACGAACTTCGAGAATGTCAGAACATTATTGCCTAGTTTTAACACTCGAAAAGTCCAAGCCTTCTTCAAGGTTGAAATATTAGGCTTCTATATAAACAGTCGAAGATCTTAGAAGTGTTCTGGCACACCGAAATCGTACGATGACCTCGCAGCTCGTATTCGAGAAATCACTTGTCAACTGTCATCTTTGTCGTCTGTCACTTGTCATCAGCCTAAGTTCGGTGTTGTCAACTTTGTAACGTTTGATCAATATAGGGAAAAGTTTTAGTTTCATAGGAAAAATTAAGCAGTCGAAGAGACGGCCAACTTTTTCAGATGTTCCATGAAAACTTGCAGCGAGACGTCGTCGGTCAGCACGGGAGCGCCACCGTCCTGTTTATGGGAAAATACGCTTCAATTCTCTTGAAATTTTAAGTAAAATTTACCAACACCAGTATAATATGCACCCTCAATGCAGTCATTTGAACAATCTATACACTATAATAGTTTATCACAGCGTCACAAACTGTAACGTAAAATTTATAATGTCCTTCAACCAAAAATATAGCATTTGCCCGTTTGAATTAACAAAAAAAATCATTTATTTATTTACCCACATACAAACGTAACAATGTCTAGTACGTATCTAATAAATTTTATATTATTACGATAAATGTGAGGTCAACCAAATTTATCAGTTTGCCATTGAAGTTTATCAAAAGCTTTTTAAATGCAAATATATTTAAAGATGATTCATCGTGTTTCATGCAAGAAACAAAAAAAAACATGCATTGTGTTACACAAATTAGTTACAAAAGAAAGAAAAAAGCAATCAAAAGACCGAAGCAAGCTGGCATTCTTTTGAAAAACAATCTCGTACTTATTTATATTTCTTTAATTAAATAACAGTCCATATTATTTTTAATTCGTTTTCTCCGTGTGTCATAACGATTTTATTTAGAGACTTGGACACGCTTCAACTTCATTCATTAAAGAGGACAGATCAATAAGCGGTTTAAATGCTGATATCTTATTACGACGTAAGCCCACTGAGTTTCTGATCCGGTGGTAGATTCTGCGAAGCACTGCTCTCGCTAGGGCCAGTATTAGCAGCACCTCCCGTTTGAGCCCCGAGAGCTCGTCTACGCACTACGGTAACGCTGATATAGCCTCTCAAGGTTATCAGCATAGGTAGGAAAAGAGAAATGACGTCGTATTTCAGCAAAAGAATGTCAGCCCTTATTATTAAATTAGTAAAAATTAAGGACACCCAACACCCAGATTGTAAATATAAAAGGTATATACCGCAGATGGTATCGGCATCGCCTGGATATCGCCAAACAAAGATGAAACAAAAAAAAAAACAATAATTTTCACACCGTGCTTGCTCTACACGACAACTCTATACATGCTCGGTTAAGTAGTTAAACTTTNAAAGAATGTCAGCCCTTATTATTAAATTAGTAAAAATTAAGGACACCCAACACCCAGATTGTAAATATAAAAGGTATATACCGCAGATGGTATCGGCATCGCCTGGATATCGCCAAACAAAGATGAAACAAAAAAAAAAACAATAATTTTCACACCGTGCTTGCTCTACACGACAACTCTATACATGCTCGGTTAAGTAGTTAAACTTTCTTTTTTGTTTTCGGAAGGCACACACTTCATGCTTCTTCCGTAACAATATTTAAAAAATCATAAATTAAAAGTTTAATTAAAATAAAAAGTAATTAACATTTTAATAAGGTACAAGTATCAAGATATTTTGTTTTACTCACCCCGCCGTATGCGTACATGTTGTTATGGGTCTGCGATGGATTCACCTTGGACAGGAGGAAACGAGCCTGAGAAAAAAGAAAATATATTTCACACGCGGCACAAGTGAAGCCTTCCGAAATCTTCTATCTCGTTCTCTCGCAGCCTAAATCCTGTGGATGTTTATAGTTTATCGCTTATAGAGCATTGCCTCCGTTTCGTCTAGTTCCATCATCAGAACAATGTTATAGAAGTTTTCACTTCAAAATGTATATTGTGTAGTAGATATTATCTAACCTATTTCTACCTTAAAGCATTTTTGGGATCCAGTTTACAGGTTAGAACAGTGTTTATTACATTGCAATTAAGATTTCGATCAGACGTATCGAACTAACTACGGCATGGACACACCCGGTCATCGTTCTCGTCGAACCAACCCGTCGATTGCGACGAAGGACGAGTAAATTAACCCACAGACACAGCCTACTGAGTTTCTCGCTGGACCTTCTCAGTGGGTCGCGTTTCCGATCCGGTGGTAGATTCTGCGAAGCACTGCTCTTGCTAGAGTTAGTCAGGTTTGAGCCTAGTAAGCTCTGCTCCTAGTTCGATGAATCTAGAATAACCCCTCGAGGTTATAAGAATAGGTAGAAAAAACAACACACGTGGAAGATCCGGCGAGAAACTCAGTGGGCTAGCGCTAAAATTACGTAAGCGCTGCCACACTCACAACTCTAATTGAAAAATACGATCCACTGTGTTCGTCTTGAATTGTGATCGAAACAATGAAACAACGAGTCGACGGCGATAAGCCTGTACAATGCTGTGCCGCGCGTTGCTGACAATTGTGGTTGCAACATGTACGTTAAACAAAACCAGCGGTCAGGGAAACACGCGTTTGTTACAAATAAAGGGTATAATAAATATGTAATAAAAATAAAAAAAACAAAAAACACTAAACACTAGTCGTAACGTGTAACGTGCGAACGTCAAATTGCGCGATATTGATCGAAAAACGTTTCTAAGATTTAATCCCGTATTATTTTTATTAGAAAATTACATTGAACACGAGATTAAACGGATTTTGAACATATCAAAAAAACGCGCGAGAAACGAATCTAAAAACGTCGATAAATTTTCGAAATATCAATTTAAATGTCTCATTATTGAGTTACATAATTGCGCGACATAAAAAAAAGTTAATTCATAATGTTATATGAATATTCATTCGAATATTTTAGTGATTTTTTTACGACAGAACAATGAAATTTCAGATCTTCTATGTCTGTTATTATTGAGCGGTTTACAAAAGGGGGATTTGAGTGAGAATATTGTGAAAAAACTTCAAAAGTACAACGTAAACATTGACGATGTGGCGAATTTGTGAGTTTTATTGTATTTTTTTTGGTTTTTCCAATACAAAATGTACATTGATTCCAGCATTCGTTATATCTTTTATATTGCAGAAATATAGCAAGTGCATGTAAAAATCTTTCGATTATAAACACTCCTGTTGAAGCCTACGAAGCGAGAAATGATGAAAAAAAATTCACTTACAATAACACAAAAGCATTAGGTAATGTAATTTTAGTTGATTTTCTAAATGACAATAACTAGTAAAATTTCTTTATAATGTTACATATTCTCGTTTGCGATATAATAAGTAATATATAAAAAGCTCTATGCGTTTTTTAGAGAGAAAACCTAATTGACAACTGAAACATAACGTGAAAATGTTCAAGCATCTGTTTACATAATTGATATTTATAATAGTACGCCAAACCACTTTAGATACCGCTTAGCTGTGTGGCAACATAGAATTATTAAAGTTAATCAAAAAAAGTTGCTAACGACGAAATCATCTCTAGATATTAGTACATAATATGTATTTCAACAATATTTTGAAAATAAACTTTTCAGAAACAAATAACGATGAAAGAGAAGAGATAATTAAACTTGAAAAACAAAACATTAATGATTACATTTCTGAAATGCTAAAACTCATACCAAACTCTAAAAATGAAACTATCGAAGATTCTCGATTTATATATAAAGACAAAACGAAAATAACGCCAGCTGTTGTTCACATGTCAACAGATTATACAGATATAATAAAAGATAAGTTAGATGACACACGTAAAAACAATCAAATTCCTAATTTGGAAAGTTTAATCAAATTATGGAAAACTTACGCTTCAGATAACGCTAATATTTTAGAGAAACAAAGAAACATAATTTCTCATGTGCTCACAACATCAAAACCTAAACAAAAAGAGAATTATTTTAAAACCGATTTAGAGGGAAATGATGTTGGTATTAACAAGATAATTGATAGTTTTTTAAAAACAAAAAACATTCAAATTTTGAATGACTCAGAAAAACTAGGTATGGGTGATATAGCCAAGCAAATTAGTGCGATTATTGCTAACGATCCCAGATCTCGAAGCGTTAATTTGAATGAATTTAAAAAGGACAGTACTAAACAAAATGCGAAAACGGATAAAGCTATATATAACAATGACGCGCAATACAGTGGACAACCTAGACGAGATATGAACGATATGAGCGTATTAAACAGAGATGTCGAACTAAACGCTTTAGAACAAAAAAGAACTGAACTAAAAAATAATGCACTCAATTATATAAACAATATGTTTCGGTCAGATGAAACTACCAAAGTCGATACGGTAACGAAAACCAATGATAATTTTCACGACACAAAAGAGAGTAAAATAGAAAACATTTCACAACCAACAATATTCCAAGCTCCCATTAATAACTTGAAAATACAAGCAATTAATGACATGTATTCGAAACTAGGGCACATTTACAATTTAGATCACACGACTTCTGCTCCTGAAGACGCATTAAAAGTTATAGCGGATAAAATAAGAAAATTAATATTGGATGATTTGAAAAGGGACATTGTAACTATGACTCCAATAATGTCTACAACAATAACAACGACGGTAACAACAGGTAAAGAGCCAATAGATTAGCCAATAGATTAGATAGTATTTTTCATTTGTAAAGGGCTTAGAGGGATAATACATAATACTTTGATCTCATATCTCAAACTGCAACCTTTGGAATTAATTATTGAAATCGTCGTTTTAATGTTCCTCTGCCATTTTTGATCGAAAACAACTATAGATTAGAGCACAATACACTAAAGCTATATCTATAATTTCAGAAAAAAGTACAACAGCAATCGAAAAACAATCCGAAACTCTAATCGACGTTACCGACGTACTGAAAAAGTTCATGAAACTATTCCAACAGCTACAAAATAAAGAAGAAAAAATCATAACAGAACTGGAAACTAAGCAACGTAATGAAAACAAAAATTCAGTTAAAACAGATTTGGTTCGAACACCTTCGACGCCATACAAACCCCACCCAGTATTAAGATATCCACCATTATTCAATAACATACACCAATACCAAGATATTCCTTACGAAAACTACCACATCAACAACCAGGCAAAACATACAAACAATAATATTTTCATGACAAAAACCAGATCAGCTCCGATTACTATTCAAACGAACTCGAACGAAATAAAGCCTTTAGGTGTACATTTACCGAAAATAAATTCACTGATTCACCAGAATATAATTGTCACAACGAGAAATCCATTTTTCTCGCTCAAAGTTTACAGAGATGACTATTCAAATAACGGCCCGGATAGAACGCATAGAGCATCAAAGGAAGCGACCAAGATTGATATTGATACGGATTTTGAAAGATATCGGACTAAGAACAGATTTTACGAGGAGAAAAGGGGGTACGTAAAATACGAACCGGCTTATAACGAAAGAGATTTTAATGGAAATTACGAAGAAAAATATCGTAGCAGACTAAGAGACTATCGAACGCAAAACACTGATTATGAGAGACTCGGAAATGATAACGTTAGGGGTTACCATGAAAAATTGGAGAGAACAGATAACATAGGCAGAGAGTCTTCAGACTATGACAACGGTTGTTGCAAAGCGAAAATCTCTTCAAGGCAACAAGTACCGTTGAGTGACGCAAAGAAACATCAAGATGAAGCACGTTTTAGGAATTTTCTTAGAACGCAACAAAAGGTTAACGATATGCTGGAAAAGATTTTGGCGAGCAGAACTAAAGACGAAGGACCGAAAAGCGTCGAAACAACGTGACCCTACCAGCAGTTTCTTATATATCATAGTTTTTTTTTATTAAATTAAACTTTAGTTAGGTTCCATTTTTAAACGACAATTATAAGCATTAAAAAATAAATAAAAGTTTCATGCGTTTTTTTTTTTAATTTACTTCGTTTATTTCAAAGGCGACTTTGCGCCTTTATTTTTTTAATAGTAACGTATGCGACATTGATAATCTGAACAAACCCGCTCAAAGACCAAAATCGATCACATACAAATCACTGAACACAAGCTGAAGAAATACTAAATAGACAAAATAAAACAAATCGCACAACTTCACTCCTCGCGTTCCCGCCAAAAAGTGCGCCTCGCGATCGGTTTGATTATACAACTCGGCGTGTAACTACTAACCTGCGAGCCGCCGTGCTCCGTGTCGATGTACCGGGGCACCGGGAACCTGCTCTGCAGTATCTCCTGCGCGTCGTCCACGGGCGCCCGCAGCAGCTGCGCGAAGCTCTCGTACTCCGGCATGTCTTGGTAGCGAAGCGCCCGCCATTGTGCTATCGTCTATTGTAACACAGCTGTATTTAGGTAACACTTATACCGGCTCCACGCTTGGCCCCAACATAGGCCCTGACGCTACTCGCCCAACGTGTGGACCCAGAAAATAGCATTGGCCCAACGTTGGAGCGAACGTTAGTAGTTGGCTGTCGAATGTCATCATTCTCAATTCGTTGTCTTCCAAAACCGTATATTTTATTTTATATTCACCCACAGCAAGACAACTGTTAAAGCTAATAATTTCTGATAATACAACAGCAAAAATTAAAGATCAGTTTACCGTATGATTATGGGATAGCGAGAGTTCATCTGCCTTTGCTTTACATTGCGTGTTAACAATACATAATATATTTATGGTACATTAGTCGCGAATCACATCTAGATATACTAGATGCGTTAGATAGGTCTCGGCAATTCATTATTTAGTTGTAATTGTGGGAAGCTTAAACGACGATTTGAAAGATCTTCCACCGAGCGCGTGATGTTGCTCGGTAGACCGACGGTCCGATTGTTGTGGTTCGGAACTTGCAAATATGCAAGCTTATCTTGAAAATGTCGTGAGCGAGATTCAGGCATCTGTCAAATATCTTGTATTGTACGATGGCTACCCGCCACTTAATCTAAGAGACCAAAATTTAAACTAATCTAAGACAACTAAAAGACTAAAACATACATTAACAAACAAAAGAAGGCAAAGTTAAGCAATCCAGGCGCTTAGTAACAGAAATGGACATAATTACTTCAGTGCGCCGCGTAGGGCACCGGTGACCTACGCGGCTGTTAACATGTTAAGGCTGTATAGAAAGTTACCTCGCCGTGATATATCAATATTTGGAAGAAGGTGTCCATTAGGAGTATGCGGTCCGCTTGTATGGAGGACGTGTCCAGGAGGACCGGCTCCGGGGGACCTCCGAAGCTGTACGAGTACAAGATCGGCTGGATCATGATCAGAGACTGGGTCAGATCTTCACGCATCAACATGTGCCTGAAATCAAATGATGCAACTAAAAACAAAATGTACTTACTGTATGTCGTATAGTGATGTAAAAGTTGATATGCAATAGCTTTTGTAGTTCGACTTCTGTTGATCGTGAAATATTCTTATAACTCGATGAAGTTGCGCGAACCAACGTTACATATAACAATTTATTTCATTATAATTTGCGTCTATTGAAGTGTTTATTTATGTAAAAAATTTAATCAATAAACAACGAAAAGTTAGCAAACAATGCAATTGCGGCGCAGAAGTTCAACTTCTTACATCAGTTATTGTTTCATTATATTAAAACAATAAACCATTCTCACATTATTTAAAAATACCATATAGGTGCACTGAATGCAGTATCGGACGAATACGGCGATTATTAGCTTTTAATTTCGTATTCAAGAAATACGTAACGACAAATACGCTTCCCTTAATAAATAATAGCGATAATAAAAAAATTAACCTATAGAATGTGGTCTCGTCCGGTGAGTTGTTGAAGACCTGAAGGAACTGTGAGCGTCGCAGATGGTACATGAACTGCGGGTACAGACTGAAGTTCTCCGACAGACGGAAGCTGTTCGGATCGTCTTTGCCGTATTCACCGAACTTCTGGCACTGTTGAAATAACATAAAATCAGTGACAACAAAAAATTTAAACTACACCAATGGCGGTCAAGGGTATATTTCTTGAGGAAATGTGACAGTGCTTTGCCACATTAGTCCAACAAGTTTGGGACCTGGATCGTACCTAATTCTATTGCGACTCGAGTCGATGTGTTAAAAACATAGAAAGATTGGTTTTGTGAGTATTATCCATTCAAGTCCAATTAGACCATCCGTCTGGATCCCAAAATATTAGTAAGGTTGATGAGGCATACCAATCGTATGAGCATCCGGTCGAGCCAGCGCAGCACGTCAGGTCCATCCTCGATCTCGGCGCGGTAGACCACGAGCCGCGCCATCACCACGGCGGCCGCCTCCTGGTCGAAGCCGGCCGCTATGTGATGGAGACTCACCGCTGCGTCACCCCAGCTGTATTTTACAAAACATATATTTAACTTAAGTTTTTCATTTGATAATAATGACACGACTAAGAACGGAAGCTTTTGACCCTTTTTTTACCTAGTTATACTGAGAGCCTTGAGAGGCTATTTCAGCTTCTCCTTGACGTGTAGATGAGCTCACGGGGCTCAAACCTCACGTCGTTGCTAGCACTGGCCCTAGTAAGAGCCGTGCTTCGCAGAATCTACCACCGGATCGGAAACGCGACCCACTGAGAAAATCCGGAGAAAGTCAACGGGCAATTAATTCACTCGTCGAGCCCTTCGTCGCAAGCGACGGGTTGGACGAGGACGTTGACCGGCTTTTGACCCAGTAAACAGATTCCACTATTGTTATTCGGAACTTATCTATATTTCGGAGACGGTTATTAGTTTGGTAGCAAAACGAAACGCGGTATGATTCCCGAGAGGTGACAACACGATCGCGACGTCGTTGCAACTCTGCTAACTTTGTGCTACGACAGAGCCTAGCCGATGGAGGCGAGTAGACGCCATTGCACACTTACCAACCAGCCTTCTTCAAGAGCGATGCCTCCGTCCTAAGAACTGTCATTCGTTTTCGTTTGCTAACCTCAAGGGAAGATTTCTAAATTGTTCTAAGACAACAAACGTGTTTGGTGTACTCAATATTTCTCTTAACACGATCTCCCTACTCGCCCCTATGATTTCTGACGATGGTGTTAATAATGCGGTTTCTCCGACATATATTTATGTAAAATATCTTGAAATTTTTCATAACCACGATTTCAACTGGATATCTAACGCTAAAATCTACCATAGTGATATTACTATTGAAGGAACTACTATTGATAAGAATTACTGGTGGTAGGACCACTTGTGAGTCCGCGCGGGTAGGTAACACCACCCTACCTATTTCTGCCGTGAAGCAGTAATGCGTTTCGGTTTGAAGATGTGTATTAATGTAATACCGATGGCAATACTAACTTTCTAGCCACTGTTGTGACTCGGACGCGTCTCTGTCCGCTCGAGTGCTGATACTGCGTGATGAACTGTACGCAGCCGCGACCACCTTGGGGTACCGTCGAAGCTTGATTTGCAACCTATAATAAACAATCAATACATCTTAACATGTCGATTTGAAGTCGTCGTGGCCTAAAAGATAAGACGTCCGGTGCATTTGTATCTAGCGATGCAACGGTGTTCGAACCCCGCTGGCAGGTAGCAATCTTTCTAATGAAATACGTACTTAACAAACGATCACGACTTCCGCGGTAAGGAATAAGGTCGTGTAATAAAAATCAAACCCGCAAAATTATAATTTGCGTAAATACTGGTGGTAGGGTAGGTGAGTCCGCACGAGTAGGTACCACCACCCTGCCTGAAGCAGTAATGCGTTTCGGTTTGAAGGGTGGGGCAGCCGTTGTACTATACTGTTGAGAACTCATATCTCAAGGCAGGAGGCGGCATTTATGTTGTAGATGTCTTTGGGTTCCGGTAACAACTTAACAACAGGTGGGCCGTGACCTCGTCCACCCAACTATGCAATAAATAAAAATGAAATAAAAAATGTAGAGAGTCGGTGTGTTATGTTGTTATGTGATCTTGTTTATGATAATAGCAAATATAAATTATTTCTAAATAATAGTGTGTGTAAAAAAATCATAATCATCTAATAATAAAATATAATGTATTTATTAACTGATGGTGAAGCAAATTTTCCTTCATAGCATTATGTCAGCAATAATACTTATATGAGATAACCGAGACTTATATATCATGTCGTCAACTAAAGATGCTAAAAACTATTTTGAAGCAGAGTAATACTTTATAATTGTTTCATTTAGAATACTAAAAATGATTAACACATAATAGATGTGATTATTGATAGCAATAAATCATAAAGTTTACCTCAAAGAATATGGACATGGTAGTACTGGGGGTGAAAGTACATAGCTTCCATTGACACGTATTGCCCATTCCGACCTCCTGATCAGATACGCACGGTCCCTTCACATTCAGAGACACGCAGGAACCAATCGCACCAGATACTAGAAACAAAATTCTTATCTTGTTACTGACATTTTGGCGGGAACGCGAGGAGTGAACTTGTGCGATTGTTGTATTTTGTCTATTTAGTGTTTCTTCAGGTTTAAATGTGTAACGGCGGTTTAACAATTGTGGGAAAATGAAACAAAGCCGCTGGGCGTAACTTCCCGGGATCCTTCAAAAAGTCCACTGAAAAAATCTTAGTAAATGACCACAATTTCATCTCATCTTATTTCATATCAATCATATTTATTTCACTCCTTATTATCATTTTTTCATAAAAATAAGAACATGAAAGAACGAGTGAAAGGTTATTTGGTTAAAGCGACATTTTTGCAATTTTACTGGAGAACCATTTAAAATTTTTAAAAAATATCATGATAAAAAATATTCTTCATCTATTTGAATTTAAACATAATTGAAGTTCAATTAAAAACATCGAATTCTTAATACTGATACCAAATAAAACGGACCTTTTTATATTACAAAGAATGTGGCTTATTAACTGAAATGTTGCTTAAACCAAATAGTCTTTCCTTCTTGATATCCAAGCTTAAATAAGAGTTAAAGTCGGTCACATAAATATGGTAGCCCTTGTTTTAGTTTTTATATAACCTTTTATATTCGTACCTGTAAAATTTGGCACACAAAAAATTTCAAAAGGGATAAAATTTGCTTTATTACTTACTTTTCAGTTCACGGCTACATTTGACTTCTAAAGTACCGTTGAATGCCATCTTATAATCTCCTTTTGTGTCTTTAGCAAACACTCTTTGGAACGTCTGTTTGAACAGAGATGAATTGAACGAGTCTCCCATCACCATGTGACCTCTGAAAAGAAATTATTTGCATTATGAACTGTTTTAATTCACCACGACTATCTACATTAGGAACACTATTATTTGGTTCCTATCATGATTTTCACATTTCATAAGTTCTGTATATCTATAATTTACTACATTTGTTGATCATCTGCTGTTGAGCAGTTACCAAAGTGAAAAAGATTTCGTAGAGCCAGTACTCCAGCCAAATAGTGCATTATAATCAGAAACAGGTAGGCACCACCACCTTGTCTATGGCTGGGTATGTGTACGGGCAGTCATGCATTTCAGATTGAATGATGGGACAGCAATTAAAGCAGCAATGTAATTGAGACTGACCCCATGTCTCCATTTCCTCCAAAATATGTTAGATGGCAGCCCCAAACTGTGTTAAATACTATGGATCAGTTAAAAGGTTGTAATAACAGTAGCTAGAGGTGGCTGAGTGTGCACTATCTGATAACTCAGAACTACTACTATAAATTTAAATTACAAAGCCTATGGCTATAATCTAAATAAACCATTGCTGATACAGGTTCAAAATTTAGTAGCTAAAAATAATCAATATATATTTTACCCAGTAGAATTACAGCATTGTTTCATTTCCATCAGGCCAGTCTGATCCAAAGCACATGAATAAATATCTATAGAATGACCATTTGTTGCTGATCTTAGAGACAAAGCTTCATAATGTTTAATAGCCTTTTTCATATATTTAGCATTATCCTTATGAATGTCATGATGGGATCGGATGGGCTGTTTCAACTCATCATTCACAACCTGACCTGGTCCCTGAGAACATGGTCCACCTAGGAACATCATGATTCTGGCGCCGGTGTTGGGATATGTAACTTCCAGTAATCCAACAGCCAATGAAAGTGCTACTCCGCTACTACGTAAGGGTCTCTTTCCAACACCTAAGGGCCAAGGATCCCTCCCAAGTTCACCGAGCAGGTCAGTTAATGACATATCACATTGTTTGACTGGCTGCAAGAATCTGTGGGCTGGAGGCTGTGGAACAGGAGCACCAGGACGCTGCTGCTGAGGATTTGGTGCATTCACACGGCCAATAGCTAGTTGCTCTTGAATTTGCTTTGCTGACAAATCTTTTGTTCCTTTGAAAACATAGCATTTTGATATGCCTTCTGTACCTGAAAGGATAATGATTTTTTTGTCATTAATTAAATACATAAATGGCATTAAAAATATGTGACAAAATTTATTTTTAAAAATAATTAGCCTGTATACCAAAAAACTTCAAAATCAATTGTCATTATATTACATTAATATGATTATCTTTTAAATGCCTTGCTTAATTTTCAGTGGTCACTATTACTCATGGACATTGGCAATAGTGCAGATGTCTACATTCACACCTTTTTTGACAAATCTCATGTCATCATACTAAAATTTTAATCATCATTCAAAACATAACATATTTAAAAAAATACTTGTGACACTAACTTGACTGAAGCATGACTTTAAACAAAATATTAAACTTTAAATCGATGCTACCAAGGAATACTACTCTAACTCAAAATTTTGAAATTTTCATTTTTCACGCAAATCGCTTCACTATTTTAAAAGTATTGATGTTATTGATGGGGTTCTACGCAAGAGTAAATCAGCTAGTTACACAAGAAAAAAACATAATATATCTGCAATTATAAAGATTTTATCAACTTTTTTCATTTAAATGCTCCTCCTGTAAAGCTACAAATTTGGAGTTAGCGTAGTGTTCATTGGAGGCATCGAAAGAAACTTTATTTAACAATATTTATTTAATGGTTAATCATGTTAATTTGATGCTTCTCTCAGTCTGCAGGAAGCTTTTGTTCTTATTTTTTCTGTGACTACATATTATATTTTAGATAGAGATATAAACAAAGAAAATAACATCTTAAGCATATTGCTTACCTAATTCATGAATCTGTACCATTTTACCAAATGTTATTAGTCCAACGAGTGCATTTTGAGGCATTAAACTAAGTGAAGTCTGCAAGGAATCTTTGAGTGCCCCAAGTTCTTCCTCATCTAAACAAGTATCAACAACAAGCAGGTAGATTGGGGGCATAGCCTGTGCTCGCGTTATTGTGTACTCTATGGTGGAAAAGTTAGGAATCAGTTCTGCGGGTTGATGCTGTTCTGATATAGCAGCATATTGAGGTGGAAACTGAAATTAAAATATATTGATTACTCTATAAGTACTTTAAAAGAAAAAAACATTAGACTAATTGAGTTAGTGGCGAATTTCTTCAAGTACTCACTGGGTTTCGTTGGAAGCAAAAGTTGCAGACCCATAATTTAGCTCTGTAATCCACCTGGCACATTGGGTTCAATATAGCTCTGCATGTATTTCGTGTACAGAGTACAGGCTCGTACTGTATCGGTGGTAGGTCGGGGCGCTCCTTAAGCGGTTGGTACAAGCAAGCCAAAGGCACAACAAGCCTCGTAGCCTCAATTCTACTTGATGGCCATACGTTCCAAGTGAACCGTATGCCATCGCGGTCTTCATTCTGCTGGATGAACTCCTCGTATGTGGCCATATCGCCGATCTATACGAAAAAGATACATTACAAAAACATCATAAACGCACAGACTCTGGTAACTTTAGAAGCACTATTAACCAAATGTACGTACCAAAAAGTCATGCGGCGAACCAGTTATAAACACATGAGCAAATTTCTTAAATCACAATATGTCTTCATTCAGAAATCCCATAAATTTCTCAATTTTTTTGAAACCAAGCAGACGGGAGAGGCTGGCTGATTTGGCAGTTGTCAACACCATAGACAAATCAGCTGTCATACTGGCCACGTCACATTTTTACACGCCATCCATCACAACATATAAAATAATTTAAAATTTTACTATCAAACGAACCACAAATTAATAAATCTTTAAATATATAAATAACATTTTTAAATAAAAATACTTTTAAGGGAGAAAAAAAATAAAAATTATTGGTTTTGTTTATGGTTCTCTTACGTTCCTTTCCACATTCCAAATTCGAATTAAAATTAATTTTAGATATAAAACACAATTTATTATATTCAGTCTTCAATATACAAATAAATATTATGTTAAAATTTATTTAATTAAAGAAACTTTCTTACTTCTTGTTGAAAAAAAAATTACAGTAAATATTTAATATAATTAAAATCTTGTCAACACTGTTCCCGTTAAAAGAACGAAACGTGGTTGAATGAATTATTTTTTTTATTTTAGGACATCGTAAAATAAATTTTCAATGGACGATATTATTTTCAAACAATTCTTTTTATAATTCAAAATAATAATCATTTGGATTTTATTTGTGGACACAAAATTAATGACATGTCATTGCTTTGTTNATATTTAATGTAATTAAAATCTTGTCAACACTGTTCCCGTTAAAAGAACGAAACGTGGTTGAATGAATTATTTTTTTTATTTTAGGACATCGTAAAATAAATTTTCAATGGACGATATTATTTTCAAACAATTCTTTTTATAATTCAAAATAATAATCATTTGGATTTTATTTGTGGACACAAAATTAATGACATGTCATTGCTTTGTTTCAAAAGCAGGAAGTTTACGCCAAAAAGTGCGACTGCGCACTGGCCAAATTAGTAGTGTGAAAGAAAATGGCGATCAGCGAAAGGCGTCCGGAGTTAACGTGATGAAAAACATTGTTAAAAGCTCAATTACATAGTGTTATAGTTATTAATTGTGTCAGATGTAGATTAATTAAGTGTTAATGAATAGTGATTGTGTATAAAAATGGCTGCGAATATGTACAGAGTCGGCGGTGAGTAGCAATAATTGGTTATTTTTGTTGTAGCTTCGCCGGTTCACCGCCAGCCGACTAGCGGTGCTTTGCTTTGATTGTCGTACTTTCATTAATTGCTTATATTAATTAATCCAAACATATTAAAAACCCAAAAAATGCCGGTTTTTATGTATCCGTGGAGGTTATCGTGTTTATAACCGTTTGATAAAGTTTGCGGAAAAGTTATATTTTACCAAAATTCGTCAAATCAAATAGGACATTAGCATTTACGTCTAGGTATCATTGTATCGGCTCGTGTATCTGCGTGCGGGCGGTTAGGCATGAAGCGTCTTTAGTTACCTAACTGAGATGATAGTTTTTTAGAATAGTTTGATGATTTTGACGTGAGATTTTAGGTTATATTCGATGTTGTCAAAACATTTTGATACGAGAGCTGGTTGTTTTTGGGTTATTTGGTATATCTTGGAAGGGTTTAGGGATGATAAGAAAGTAAACAGTAAAAGTGTAGCGTCGCAAGTCATTATAAATTATTGGTTTGTTTGTGTATGGACGGTGTTAGTCGAGGATGTCGGTTGCTGTAGGATATTGATGCCGCGAGTCGCGAGAACAACACGAGCGCCTCATGTACCGCACTCGGCGTCCGTCGCGTCGAATGTTAATTAGCCCTTCCTTTTGTATCACTTCCTATCATGTAATGTAATGCTTCTGTTAAGGTTATGTCTTTGTTTCAAAATTAGCTAATTCTTAGTAAAATAATTTTGTTAGAACCGAGATGGAATGTATTTTATTTAATAATTTCATTAAATGGGTAAATAAATATTACTCTGTGATCAACTATAAATTAGGGATTATTAAAGTTTTTAATTTTAAAATTAAATCTTGACCCGTAGTTTTACACTAACGTTAGGTCAATATAGTAAATCTTAAAATGAAATATTTTTTTCCCTCCAAAACATAAAATTAACAATTTCATTCTAATTACCTATACAACAATTATAAAATATGTTCTAAAGCCTATAAAATTTTACTTTGCTATTAAATCAAATTAAATTGTCAGTTCAATGAATTAATGTTAATCTTTTGTTAATCTTTTAAACCTGAAAGAGCTATACACTATTTTTTATTACTCTAAAACTACTGCCAAACTGTTCTCATTATAAAAATAATAAAAACATTTTGAAAATGCTGTCAAACACAATTTTTTGCAATCAACACTAATAACATAAACAAACATGCATTTCTTTATTCTATCAAGGCCACCACAAATACTTCAGATGTACTGAAAGCAGTAGGTATGCTCCAATAAACTGAAAGTTTAATATTGCAAATGCAAAGGATTCAAAATTAAAAGGTATTTTATTATTCCAATGATTTATATAGACAATGATCACAGTGATTATTAAATCTATTCTGGCATAAAAGTTTGAAGGGTTTGTCAGCTGTCATTCAGTGACCCTGCAATAAATGAATTAAAACATTTCAGAGTATCTAGGAAAAGAATCATAACAATACATTGCATTCTTTCAGTTTAAATTAATAGTATTGTGTTAGCGTAGTGTTATTTTAAGTATATTTGTTTGTAATATAATATTTTGATCTACAACAAAACGTATCTGCTCTACTCTAGTTTGTTATTGTATTCTATTTATAAATTTCTACATATTGCAATTTTAATGCAAACATGCAGATATATAATATACATCTGCATAATATACAATATAAATTTAATTTAGGTGCTGAGTAAAGAAAATACACTAAAAACACACTGACGCAGTACAATAAGAAACCATATGATATACACATACTGATATAAATAAATTCAAAATCACTAGGTTGATTATTAAAATTTCAATAATGAAAATGGAAAATAGTAGTTTTTTTCAAGTGTCTTTTTATTCAATAAAAGTATAAAATTGTCTTTATCAGTGACCTTCAGCTTTTGAAAATTGGTTGAGCTCAATGACCTATGCTTAGTTTTGTCCAACTAAAATACTATTTTTTGTTATATAAGCCAACCTAGTATTTTTATGCATATACAAATTGAATAATAGAAATTTAAAAATATTTAATTCCTTTTATACGGGAATATTATGTATTTATATAAATTAACACTAAAATTATTTCATAAAATAGCATTAATAAAATAAGTTAAGTAATTATCCATTTTCAAAGTGCCCATAAATATATTTAATCATACATTATTCTTCTTCTATTTTTCCTGCTTATGTTGCTAATACCTACACTAATTATATCAGTGTTATAAGCCTATATAATGTAATAGGATTACTGAAGTTCATTTTTAACATAATAATAATAAAAATATAACAGTTATCAAGAAAGTAACTTAAATAAAATTAAAATGCGGTGAGTGTGAAAATATGTAATTTAAAACAAATGACCTTATACTATTACATTCCTTTCTTGTCGCGAGCTTGCCAAGTTTTATGAAAACATCTCTAGCAATTTCTTAAAGTACGCTATATTTTTTTATTTAATTAATAAATAATAAATAAGATAGATCACCTATCATGGGATACAAACAAGGCTTAATGTCAGACTCCCTTAATTAAATAAGGAAATCCTTTCCAAATGCATTTTAAATAATTTATTTTGATAGTATCACCACGCTTATGCCCTGTCGCCAATTATTTATCAAGCAACGTATTTAAAGACGACGGGGGATGAGATCAATTATTATATTACGTAACGCTGGTATTACTACGATTAAGAATAAAAATTGATCAGTAATGTCCATATAATATTACAATGAAACAAGTCCTGAGAATATATTGTGAATGTTAAAGTTGTGGCATTGTTTTATTAAAGACTCCAAGGCGTGTCAATTGTGGCGTGATTGTGAAAGTTTTGGCTAAAGTTCTGGTTTGACTGGTCTCGTCATGGAGAATCATTGATAATATTATTACATGTCGTTATTAAGTTTTATCACCAAAGATAATCATGAAATTAAGTAATTTATTTTTCGTGAACAAACAGGATATTTCATTTGTAGTTATCTTAAAATGTAATGTACTCGAAAATTTTATTAGTTTGTTGTAAATTACGAGAACATTCTGGGCAGATCAGGGGCTACAGCAGTGTCAATTTGAGCTTTTTCATTTTATAAAGACGATACGAAACACATTCATACGACCCCACCATAACAAACGTAAAAATCTTGTAAAATGTCTTTCTAGTATGAAGTCTCAATAAAAACAAAAAATAGACAGAGGAGGCAATTTGGTTTCACTACCATACATTCATAAATAAATTTAATTATGTAAAGCTATTTCTCAGTCATCTTACCTATTTATCACGCGGAACATTAATGTGGTAGATAGAGTTTTGAATAGTAGAGTAGCCGTTATTTCGGTTTCATGTTCCAAAGGGGTGGCCGCATTTCCGTCGTGTTTATTGCAGCACCTACTTAACGACAGATAGGCCGAAATTCAGTCCGCTGCTGTAGATAACTACGCAAAAAGCTAGCTGTTCATCCTTTTATCATAAATACACGTCATATTCACAATATACAGTTGAGTTTCCGACCTCATCTCTCTAAATAAGTGTCGGTATACACCAGGTGAACCGAAAACTCAATTCATATACTACATAAAAGAAAATCATCTAAATAAAAGTCGGTCGATATCAAAAAGATTAATGATTTTATTTACTTACTCATAACCCGAAGCAAAAGAGTCAACACACACTATTGATATTCAAGACCCAAGTGGAGCGCAACATTGTATCTGTGACATCATGACACTCTTAAATCTTGTCGGTCGACGCTCCGAGACGCACGATATATCCTTTTTTTTGGTCTAATATTTGTTTAACAACCACTAAAACCAGTGTGTACGAACTCGTAAACCACTTCAACGGATGCTCAGTTATAAATGAAAATAGTAAAACGACTCACGCCCGTGAGCCGACAATGATAATAATATAAATCGGATATTAACATCGATTATACAATGTTGGTTATAAAATAGGTGATAATGTTTATTTAAGTACATATTATTAAATAGACGTCTTAGATAATAGTGACAGCTATTTTAGTTATCTTTGTCTATAAGAGTATCGGTCGTTTGTTATCTCATATTCATTAGATGTTTCATGTTCAACAAAATTGAAAGATTTTCTTCTCAGTTATAGTTTTCGAAAACACATATGTACTTGTTTAGAACTAGTATATCCTGCTTAGCGATTTTTCTTATAAAGATTGAATCTCTGACTGATAATTGGGCCTTGTGATCTAATAGCTAAAATTACTAACCACTCGACCAACAAAGTGTCTGACTTATATCTCTTCTATTTCTTGTTCAATAGAAATACATGTCACCTTTAACATATATTTTAAATGTGAATAGTAAAATTGACAAAAATGGTTTGCGAAACGAACGCACTTCGATGATACGTTTTAAAAATAACTATAGATATTAGATGATGCCAGTTTTTACTTACGCAATCTCAAGTGAATTCCTTCAGTTGAATTGTTTTTTTTTTTGTTTCATTCAATGTTAGATGCCGCCGTGTAGTTAGAGGAACCGTATAGAATTTTCAGTTCAGATTTTTACGCACACTTGTTGATTTTTAAAACCTCGTTTTTTTAATATAGCCAACTTTAAAAGAAACGAATATAGCATAAAAAGGACTCACAGTAGAACAACTGCTTGTAATAAATTCACCGGCACAGTACCAACATTTACGTAATTAAATGTGAAATCGCATTAGTACCATTGTTCTGTCTATTTTTACAGCAAAGTAGTCAATGATTGCGGTGAGCAAGCGCCGATAGGTTATTAAAATGTAATTCAGGCCCCGTGTCTTGCTTAATTTTTTTTTCGGCTGTCTTTTCGCTGTTAGCCTATGGCCTATGGGGCTATTCCAGCTTCTCGCGGACGGGTAGGGTAGCTCTCGAGCTCAACCTGAAAGAATTTGCTGACACTAGCCCTAGCAAGAGCGGTGCTTCGCAAAATCTACCATCGGATCTTCTCAATGGGTCGCGATTCCGACTCGGTCGC